GAAAGCAGACGTTTCAATGGACTACTAATATATATTGTGTGGAACTTGTGGAAGGAGAGGAATATGAGGATTTTTGAAAACGAGTTCAAGATGGCACAACAGGTTGCCTCATTGACCAAAGAGGACATTGGCCCCGTTCGCTGGTCTGAACTTTGGCTGAAACTGACTGAAAAATACTGTTCCAGCTGAATTGTTGTGAGAGAAAAACACTGTTCCGGTTGAAAAAACAAGCCGAACAAGCCAAATTTAAGACAAGCGAACGGGGCCATTGTGCGAAGGCGCGGGGCTTTTTCTTTTGCGGAGTGAAAAAACTGACGGTGGAAGGGGTGTATCTACTTTGGTCCTAAGACCGGTGCTAATGTGTACATAAAATACTCTCTTTCCTATACTTAATTGGGCAGCAGAGCTCCTGCCTTTTCTTAAAAAAAAAAGTATTTGATGAGCACATAACCAGTCAGACTGATCACGTTAAGAAACCCAGTCAGACTGTCTTTTCCCCATTTCCCACCACCAGTTCTAATTAATGATATGTGCATTTGGGTGCCCATAGTCAGACAAAGCGCTTGCATGATCCAGAGATCTGTTTTGCCTTCATTTTTTTGCTACGGTTGCGTCCAGTTGGTCAAGCACTCACAGTTGCCCTTAGCCTTAAAAAATTGTTGTGATGATCTGCATTTTTAGGCACATTATCTGTCACTAGCCCATCAAAATTCTACCGCCCTCTGGACATTGTTTGGTGGTTCTACTTGATTTGTGCCCTCTGCAGTAGAATGACATTTGTTAAAGAAGAACCAGATTCTGATTCTGTCATTTTATACCATTATTAAACATGAATGTTCCGTGTTAGGTTTATATTCCCTAATTGTTTGTTAGGTTTATAAGCCCTGATTGCTGAATGGAAAGCTTGCCAAGGAATGTCAGGCAACAAAGAAATGAGAACAATTGATGTTCCTTCGCTGTTGATAGTTTGTCAAAGTATTCCTTTTGTCAAAGATTAAACGATGCTCTTAGTATGATTCAAAAAAAAACTTGACCTACGGGGGGTAAGACGGCCCCCGGGCAATGCCTGGTAGAGAAGATCTCTCACGCAGATCAAGAAAACCCCCGAACCTCCGCCCCTGCACCCTTACACGGGACCGTTCACCATGTGAGCTGGTTCGGAACCACTGTGCTTTGAGTGAGTCGGACGAGGGTTTTTTTTTTTACCCAGGCCACGTAAATCCGCTCCCACTGGGAGTCGAACCCGGGTTACTGGGGTGCCAGCCGGCCGCTCTAGCCATTCGGCCAAGAGTCCGTTGGCCTTAGTATGATTCATGCATGAGAATATCTCTTTTTCTAACAGTTTTAATATCTCTTTTTCTAACAGTTTTGAATATATCCATGGAAAGAGTAGTTCTGTTGCGTGTCATTTAAGGCAGCAGTATGTCAATATTCAGCTTATTTGTTGATTGTTAGGTAAGATGTTCACCAGTGCGCCGTAACACTTGGGTGTATTTTGTTGTATTCTTTTGGTATGAGTGACGCTTGAGTTATGTGATTTGGGTTGGTGACAGCAGTTTTTTTTATGTCTTGTCAGGGAAAGGCATAATTAAGCGATGCATCAGACATTTGAATTGTCCCATTGCATCTTTAGAGCAACGTGTGGTCACCAGATGGACCACTAAATTAGGCTGTTTTGTTGTTTTCTTCCTTTTTTTTTCTTTAATACAATGTCAGTGCTGTTTTTTGATAGTAGTTCTTTTTAGAAATCACTTGTCTGGTCCAGAGATCGTTTATGCACCCCCCCTTCTATTTTTTTTGTTGGTGGGTGGGTGGGGAGGGGTTTGGGGGGTTTGAGGCTTATGCTCATTTTGATGAGTTTGCTTGGGAGGGCAGGGGCGGAGCCTCTCTTGCAAACGAAACTGGGCAACTGGGTACCTCGATCCTGTCGTCAGAAAGAATTTTCAATGCCTAAACATGTATACCTCATTGTTTAGTTCCAAAGTCAGCAAAGCTCATTCATCTCAACTCCCAGCTCTCCCATCCCACCATCTTCTACTGAGAAACCAGGAGGAAAACTCACCATCGCATCTGCATCACACACAACCTTTTCCATATTCGCACCTTGTATTGCTCCTTACTCTCTTGTTACTCTGGTTGCCAGCCTCTGTGATCTGGACGAGCTGCTGTCGCCTGGAGCCCAGAAAGAACAGAGTGGCATTCTCTTGTGCGGTCACGACCGCACCTCCCCAACCCAAAGAACGTCGGTTCAGTCGCTTCTTACTTCACTCTGTGACCATTCTCTTTTTCCATTTGATGGTTGGTGATCTGTGAAGGGCAGGCCTGGTGCAAGCGGTAGAGTCTTACCGTCTGTGACCACCCCGCACAGAGCGGGAGCTCTCTGCACTGGATACGCCCTTTTTTTTTATGGTTGGTGTTCTGTCTATTTATCTATATTTATATTTATACTATAAAAGAGGGAATGAAACATATATAAATCAGTTGGACTATCAGACTACACTAAGCCTTTCCTAGTTGCCTTAGTTCAATGGATTGCTGGGGGTGTTAAAGTGACCGAATACATGGCAAGAAATTGAACCGAGACTGCAGTGCAATCCAAGCTGTACCCAATTTATCTTATCCGGATCTTTGCATTGGTGGAGCACCACATTGCCACATGAGATGTTCTTCTTCCTTAGGGCAGAAGACTTGCTCCCAAAAGCTTGCCTACCTTTGGGGGCATGTGGTGGAGAGCAGATATTGGGCTACACGGCTGGACCTGCTGCCCAGGTTCTTTTTGCTTAGAGCGTGAAGTGTTGGTTGGGATCACGGATTCAACTGGCATGGGAATGCCCCATAGTTTACAGGTGTGAACTGAAGCCATACATCTGCTATGTTTAACCTTAGACATACATCTGCATTAGTTAGTGGTTTAACAATCTTATGATGATGTTAGTGGTAGCTGACATTAATTTGGGCCTTTAAGTTTTAAACTGGATTCTGTGGTCCTCGGAAGATTAGGCCTACCTGATCGACCTTCATACTAGAATTGCTTTGCCGAAACGCTTGCTTTTGCATGATTCACGTTGCTTCTTCGCGGACACCAACGCTGTCCCCAAAAGACAAAGCTTCAAAGCTATTCCTAGTATCTTGAGGAGCTGGACATCATCATCATAAGGGGCACTTGCATGTTTTTCGTTTGCACCCTGCATATACATTGCTTCACTCCATGTCCATGATTCTTCCTTTCTATACTAGAGAGAGCAAGCTTTAGTCTGTTAGTTATCGGTGCAAAAGTGGTTTAAGTTCAGGGAATCACATGCACCTGCCCGCCCCAATTGGAGAGCGGCATTATTTGTAGGTAAACATAGCATAGTTGGTTGAAACAATTTCGCTCAATTTTGCTCTCCCAGATTTGCTACCTTCCAGCTACGTGAAGGATAGCAACAGCAACACGCAAGTCAGTCAGCTTTGGCAAGCATTAGGAGTAGATTCTAAAAAAATGTTTGAGTTTGACGGCAAACAATCCAGTTCACTAATGGAAGGGGGAAGGACTAGGAGTAGATTCTTCTTCTCCTTCGTTAGATTAGAGTCGCTGCTTGCATCAGCTGTCGTCATGCTGGCGACCGTTCATCATGGTATGTTACGATCGGTGTTGGGTGAGACGTGACGTGGGTGTCGGCGCGATGTGTAGCAGTTCGGCCCGAGTCCTCTCTTGTCTGTACGGTATTACGAATGTTATGTGTGGGCCGTGTGGGGTACCTTGCCGTGTGGGACGGCGGTGCTTGGATGCCGTGTCAACGCACACGGTTTTGCCCTTGCGGTGGGCTTGGGGGGTGGCGAATGGCTCACTCAACCCACCGACCCGGGGGCAGGAGCTCGGCTGCTTCTCGTGGCCCCTTGCGGCGCACATGCACCGACTCCTTGGCGCGGGAGCAAGGACACTGGGATACGCTAGCCACCGTATCAGGCCACACCTTCTGCAGCCCGCACCGTGTTTGATGAAGGCCTCGTCCCCCGGGATCACGTGGCAGGGCTGTTGAGCTGACCACCGCATGGTCGGGGTCTGTCACTGTCACCACCCTCGGGGAAGGAATGTTAGCCCTGGTTTAGTTCGCGAAATTTGAAATTTGGGGTTCCTGTAGCACCTTCGTTTTTATTTGATAAATAGTGTCCAAACATTGACTAATTAGGCTTAAAACGTTCGTCTCGCAATTTCCCACCAAACTGTGCAATTAGTTTTTCTTTTCGTCTACATTTAATACTCCATGTACGGGCCGCAAACATTCGATGTGGCAGGTACTGTAGCAACTTTTTAGACTTTGGGGTCCAACTAAATAAGGCGTTAACCTTTATTTACTCCTACTAGATCCATGGTACTAATGATTCAGATTTAACTTCGTGTACTTGATTGGTTAATTCATCGAACTGGGGGCATTATGATCTACCTGAGGATTTTAGCTAACCTATTATGTTTTTTTTTTGTTCTCGTGTAATTTGATTCAGGTGTCACTTGTCTTTATTAAAATCAGATACAACTAGGATGATTTATTCAATCTTATGTCATGTTGAAGGCAGTGATCGATCTCAAGTGGAGTTGACAAAACTGGCAGCAATATTTTTATCCTGATGACTGTGGCAGCAGTGGTGGTAATCATACCATTCCTACTAATCTGCCGATTATTCCTTGCAGTGTAAGGCTTTGCTGCCAGCGAGGCCGAATCCCGTTCCCGCGGCAGCCTCCTCCTCCATGGCTCCAGCTGGTGATCGGAGCGCCGCTGCCCGGAACCCCACAAAATAAACTGCTTTCGTTGCCCCCACGGCCCCAGCCATCACCCAACCACCTCACCGGCTTTATATACCCCGGCGCCAGCTACCCATGTCAAACGACACGGCATCGCGCCACCACCACCCTGTCGCCGCAACAGGCCAGGCAGCAGCAGAAGAAGCACCACCACCACCACAACCGGCAGCGGCACGACCCCGGCGGCGGCGGCAGCAGTGAGTGCCGGTTCTGCGAGATGACGCGGCAGCACCACCCGCAGTGCGCGCGGCGGCTGCCGAAGCGCATCATCCTGGTGCGGCACGGCGAGAGCCAGGGGAACCTGGACATGTCGGCCTACACCACCACGCCCGACTACCGCATCCCGCTCACGGCGCTGGGCGCGGAGCAGGCGCGCGCCGCGGGCCGGCGCATCCACGACGTGGTGGCGGCGGCGGGAGGCAACTGGAAGGTCTACTTCTACGTGTCCCCCTACGCGCGCACCCGCGCCACGCTGCGCGAGATCGGCCGCGCCTTCCCGCGGGACCGCGTCATCGGCGCCCGCGAGGAGTGCCGCGTCCGCGAGCAGGACTTCGGCAACTTCCAGGTCGAGGAGCGCATGCGCGCCGTCAAGGAGACTCGCCAGCGCTTCGGCCGCTTCTTCTTCCGGTTCCCCGAGGGCGAGTCCGCCGCCGACGTCTTCGACCGCGTCGCCAGTATGATGATCCGATCCGATCCATCGTCTCCTCTGTTCTTCTGCTCTTCTCCTCCACCATTGACACATCAATCAAACCCATGGATTTGCATTGCATTGCAGGCTTCCTGGAGTCGCTGTGGCGGGACATCGACATGGGGAGGCTGGACCAGGACCCCAGCTGCGAGACCAACCTGGTGATCGTCTCCCACGGCCTCACCTCGCGGGTGTTCCTCATGAAGTGGTTCAAGTGGACGGTGGCGCAGTTCGAGCGCCTCAACAACTTCGACAACTGCGAGTTCAGGGTCATGCAGCTGGGCCCCGGCGGCGAGTACTCCCTCCTCGTGCACCACACCAAGGAGGAGCTCCAGCAGTGGGGCATGTCGCCCGAGATGATCGCCGACCAGCAGTGGCGCGCCTCCGCCAACCGCCGCAGCTGGGCCGAGGAGTGCTCCTCCTTCATTGACACCTTCTTCGAGGAGCCCAACGACTCGTCGGAGACCTCCTCCTCGGACGACGACGAACCAGAGGACAAGGAGAATGGCAAGACCAAGCTGCTGGAGTAACTATATTCATCCATCCACTCACTCGCCTCTTTCTTTCTTTCTTTCTCTGCCCCTTCGAATTTTTTTTCATTGGATTGGATGGCGATTTCTGCTACTAGTAGATGTTATACCATGGGGGGAAGAACAGAGCAGCGATGGTGCATTCAGCCATTGCTGATCTCTTTCTTCCTCAACAGTCGAGAGTCTGTAACATGTTCATAATAGCTATTAGCTAGAATGATTTGGGGGGCAAATTCAGAAAATGCTAAAAAGACATACTGCCACTGTATCTGAAGGTGCTAGCTCTAACTTGATTCTGTATGTTCCTAGCTGGAAAACTGACAAAACTCACAATGGTTGGCTGTCTTTGATTAACTAATAAAATAAAGATGGCTCCTTTACCTACTGCTTTCTTTATTTAAGCAAGGTCCTTTCACACAGCACAGGTACGTTCAGCTGCGGATCCAGAAAATATTTTAGTGAGGCTGAATAACACTGCTCGATCTTAAGTCTCAGCCCCCCTACACTATAGAACTTTACCTAAAAATTCATAGGGGCTCTACAATAATTTACACTATTTTGGGATAGGTAGGGGGGCCTCGAGCCCTCCCCCGCCCCACTGCTGGATCCGCCCCTGGGTACGTTGGCATTCTAACAACATTTCAAGTTCCTTTCTGAAAAGAGAGCGTACCGGATACTATCTCTCTCTCCATCTTTGCTTCTTGGCTGATAAGCGAGGGCTAAAAGTACTGTTGACTGATTTATTGTAAGAAAAAATATTATTTGTTGACTAAAAAAATACGGTTTATAAGCAAATAAACAGGTCGCTTGTTTGCTAGCAGCATCCATTTTTCCGGCAAAATTGTTTGGCTATTACTGTCAATGAACAGTACTAGCGGTACCGTTTTTCACATGCTGGGCATCAACATACAATTAATTGTATCCGGTTGTTTTGGGTGTTTTGAGCTTGTTTGACTTATAAGTCATGTTTTTTTAGTTAATAAATAGTATTTTTCTCTCATATTAAATTAGTCAACGGTACTTTCAGCCATGACTTATCAGCCAAACCAAGTCTAAATGAACAGGGCGCTTGTCAAGATGCAAACGCAGAGATTCTTTTCCATACAGCTGGCATGGGGCAGCATGTTCCTCCAAGATTTTTGTAATCTAGCCAAGCAGTGAACAAGGCTGGATACTCCAAACAAATTTCGTGCTGCGCACTAGAGAGACAGTGCAACGGTTGTCCGAAGCTCTGCTCTCGTGCAACGCACTAGAGAAGCAGTGCAAAGGTTGTCCCAAGGATGAAAGGCACATTAAGGCTGTCCTTTGTTTTGCTCGCTGGACCAGCAACTGATTTGCATATCTAAGGGCAACTTCAAGAGCCTCATATCATATCCCATACCATATCCTTCCGTATCGATAATAGAGATTTTGGATCGATAAGAATAGAGATTTTTGGAGATAAAAAGGCTCTTCAACATATTTTAATTAAATTTCTGTTTTGACTTCTTCTTTCCAAAGTGTGCACAAGATATAGAGAAGCTGTTGGAAGATGAAATATATATAAAGAGTGATGTTTATCGAAATGGCTCTAAATGAGGATTTAGAGAGTGAGTGTTGGAGATGCTCTAAGTACTAGGATTTGCATGACACATTAAGTAAAACTATCTTAAATTTTGATCAAGTTTGTGCATTAAGTATCAATACTTTTTTTGAACCTATTAAGTATCAATACTTGATATCCATAATATATCACTATACTTATTATGAAATATATTTATATACTAGCAAATTTGCCCGTGTGTTGCTACGGGTCAAAGAAATTCGTGATATGTTTTTTTATCTGAAGTCGTACCCGTACATTACAATGGAAACCAATACATCTTGGAGTCAGACTCCATTCCATTGCTCCTAGACACGATTTATTTTAATTTTTATTAGCACATGTCTTGAGTAAGAGTCATGTCAGAGGATTGCACTTATATATGTACGATTTCAATTTATATTAGATTCGATAACAAACTGCTCACGATTTCAGTTTTACGATTTATATTCATGTAATAAAATAGTAGAGGTGTAGATGTGTCTGGGACGGATTTTTTCTCTCTTAATTAACAGGCGTGGAACTGGATGCAAAAGCTGAATGGTGAGCTGATGCACATGATGACGAAGACCAATTCCCGTGATCATAAAAAATAGCTTTGTCTAATTTATATTTGCTTACTTTCTACTTTTATTTTCTTTTCTATTTCTATTTCGAGTAGGATTCCTATTCTAGGCAAGAAGTGTCCTACGACAGAAAGAGTCTATTTGAATTAGGATTTCTATTCACCTTAAGAATTGCCTATTTAATATTAGGTATAGATTTATAATTGTTAGATATGCTTTTTTTATGAACTTAGTTAAACTTTAGACGGTTTGAATAGGATACAACTAGACTAACTTTTTTATAGAGAAAATATCGTCCCGGCTCGCAACCAACAAATAAGAATAAAATAAGGTCGTATGCTGAGATTGAGACGGTGCCATTGGACTACTAGAGTATTATACGATGCATTTGATTAACAAAAGTCGTTATTAAAGCTTAGCAAACAAGAGAAGAAAACAGTTTAGGCCATGTTTAGTTCCACCGAAATCCAAAATTTGGCACTATACAAAAAGTAGATTCTCCGTCACATCAAATTTGCGATACATGCATGGAGTACTAAATGTTGACGAAATCAAAAACTAATTGCACAGTTTGATTGTACTTTACGAGACGAACGTTTTGAGCCTAATTAGTCAACGATTAGATAATTATTACCAAATACAAACGAAATGCTACATTGCGCTACAGTGACGCCAGAATTCAGCCGGCGCCAATTCGGTCGGCAACTAGATGGGGCCTTAAAAAAAAACAAGAGAGAAGAAAACAATGAGACCAAATCCTGATAGATCCCATGGACGATGGTACACACGCATCTAGTGACTTGTGGACGAACTCAACATCGGCCGTTACGAGAAGATTCAGGAGTCGCGATGCAACCTTGCTCAGGTGGTCACGGGCGCGGCATGATCCCGCACATCCGGAGCCGGTGCGCCGGAGCCCTGCCCGGATACACGGGGACGCCGGACGGACGGACGCGCGACCTCGTCACGTCATCAGCGGAAATTTTAGTAAAGCAACAAGACTGAGTACACGATTATTAAGCTGCTTAAATTTTATATTATTTTTTCATACATCATCTTAAATGTAAAGACTAAAAACTATAAAGTTGTAGATCTAACTGAGAGCTACAACTTTGATGTAAAACATATCTTTATTTGAGAACATACAAAAAAAAAATATTACTTTTCTAATGCGACAAGCAGAGTACACGATTATTATGGGCATGCAATTTTATATTAATTTTTTGAGCACCTTAACGTCCTCAAATGAAAAAACTCAAAACTAGAAAGTTATAAATATCATCGAGAGCTACAATTTTCATATAAATTTCATCTTCATCCAACGTCATATTAAAAGGTTATGATTTTTCAAAGTTTCAGCCTTGTCACGCCACTCCCGGTGACGCGGCAGAACAATACTATCACGCCAGCGGGAGTGGCGTGACAAGGTTTTTCACGTTGGAAACATCATCCAACACCCAGATCTCTCGAGCAGTAGTACAATCAGAGACTCTCAAACTCAGAAAGAGAAAGACTCGAAAAGAGAACACTACGAGCCTTGCTATTTGCGTTGTGTTGGTCAATTTGCTTCTGAGCGACATGAGCAGCAAGCACCTCATAGTTAGGATCCTCACAAATCTCCTAAACTCGCCGATCAATGCCCTAAAAATGCGCAGACATACGGATCTTCCAGTAGGGGTAGTTTGTTCTATCGAAGTGCGGCGGTTTGCCGGAACCGCGCTCCATGTCACATTTGTGGATCACGGACCGATTAAGGTGGAATAATCCTTAACCGGCTTCGATACCAATTGAAGGAACGAAAACGACGACCAGAGGAGGGGGGTTTAATGGGAGCCGTAAAATTTCTTTCAAAACTTTTCGACCACTGTCCCAAAATCACCGCCAAACACGCGAAGCAAACACCGTGATGCCCTCAACCCAAAAGAGAGGGTGAATGTTCCCTAGGAACACAGCGGGACACAACAAACGAGCACAAAGCGTTTCCCGAACCGAAGGAGAGAAAATGAGATACTCAACTCCTATTGAGAAGAAGCGAAGCTCAAACTAAAATACCCAAGCCAACTGGTGACAAGAGTACCTAGATAAGTTCCTTTAAACGGTAGAAACCCATCGCAAAAAGACGGAACACGAATCAGAGGTCAAACAACCAAAGAAGAGCTGCTGAACGAGTGCGATCAACCAATACCGGACACGCCCTGGTATGCTAAAGCAAGGCAGAGTGACTTTGGGAGAAAAATCTAAAACCCTATCAAATGGTGTCAAAAATTATGAAATTTTAACCACAGATTCTATAGACCTTGGGAAGTCATCCACCAAATTTCAGCTCCAAACTCGAAAGTTTTATCTACTGTACACATCCGACATTCATCTTTGAACGTGTATGGTATTTACGAGCAGTTCTCGGAAAAATGGATTCAACACCCAAAAACTCGATTAAATCAACTCGGAATAATTTGAAACTTTGCAGAGAGGATCACCATAGAGTTGATAGGCTACTCCTAGAAGATCATCGCCCAAGACAAAGCCAATCAACGAAAAACAAGAAAATGTGACGAACCCTAGTTTTTCACCCCTAGAACTTGATTCGCCCCGATCTATGAACTCGTGAGGAATTAGATGAAATCCTTCGGTGGAAGGGATCAACTCACGTCCTAGTTCTTCTCAGATAAAAAAGAACGAGTCAAAATGCTCTCAAAATGACGAATCGAGCCAAGAAAGAAAGGGGAAAAAACAAGAACACGAAAAACACGAACGTGAATCACAAAAGCACCTCACAAATTGAATCCCAGAGGACACGAGTAGGTTAGGGCCTCCATTCCCAATCAAAATCACAGGTTCAATTACACCGGGAT